TCGGCGTTGACACTTTCGCGAGGGTTATCTTCGTCCATGGGGACGTCGACGGAGCAGAACGGAAGGGATCTTGCTTCTTTTGATGCGTTGGCCACATTCTGCTCGTCCCAGTCTGCTTCGTCTGCTGCCAAGGCGAAGGCTCGGTCACCACGAAAACCACCTGTGGGATCTTGGTCCTCTTGCAGGTTGGCAAGGTATGTCTGGAGCGTGAGTCGTTCGTAGAAAATGACGTCGCGTGCTGCTACTGTTTCCTTGGAGTGGAAGTCAAAGATTTTCCACGCGTTGTAGTTCTTTTCGATGCCGAGGTGTAGTCCCCACTGTGCGCGTTGTGAAAATCGGCCCGCTCGTGCTGCTGGGGGTCGGTACTGTACCATGCATCCGAACACTCGTAACATTTTTGTGCTGCCCTGTTTTCCTGTCCACAGCAGATGCGGTGATGCGTTGTTCGGTAGTGATGAAGATGAGAGCAAGTTGTGCAGCATGACAGCGTGGTCCATTGCGTTAGGCCACTGGTGGTTGGGTAGCCGCATGCCACGCAACAGTTTGCGCATGCTGTTCTGCAGAGTCCTGTTCATTCTTTCTGCTACACCTTGCTGCTGATGGGCGTAGGGAAGAGAGAGGAGCTGCTTGATTCCCTTTTCCGCCAGGTACTGCTTGAATCGCTGAGAGGTGTATTCTCCTCCTCCGTCAGACTGGAAGCTTTTCAGCTTTACGCCCGACTCTCTTTCTGCTACTGGTAGCCAAGCAGCGAATGCTTCGAGGACCATGTCGCGGCTGGGTAGGTTTAGATGCTAGACGTAACGGGTGGCGGCATCGATGAAGGTGATTGTGTAGTTGTATATTACTTGTCCTGGTTCCTGATTGTACATGATGTCGCTATACACCTTTTCGAGTGGTGCGTACGCGGGTCCGCTCGGGTTGTGATGAGGAGTGAACGGCCGATGTGGTAAGTCGGCTTCGGGGCAGGTAAGACATGTTCCTCGTGCCCGTTGAAGTTCTCTGCCGTCAAGTAGTAGTAACGAGTCCTTGTCAAGGACTCCTGCTCTGATTGTGTTGTTTAACACAGTGTTGCTTGGGTGTCCCATGCGTGCGTGCCAGATGTCTTCAGAGGCGCGGTGTCCGGGTGAGCGTCGATACGCGTCGGAGTTGGAGTAGAAGCTGGCGGTGAAGTTTGCGCTTCTATGGACTTCCCGTTGAGCCGGATTCAGCTGCTCTGCGGGTGTTGGTGGTGCTTCGTCAACGAGGACTGGTGTCGTTGTTGCTGCTACTGTTGTTGTTCGTGCTACTGCCGATGATGTCTCTGCTGCTGCCGATGATGTCTCTGCTACTGCCGATGTTGTCTCTGCTGCTCCCGATGTTGTCTCTGCTGCTGCCGATGTTGTCTCTGCTGCTGCCGATGTTGTCTCTGCTGCTGCCGATGTTGTCTCTGCTGCTGCTGCTGCTGAATGTTGTATTGTTACTAACGCACATGTTCGTTCTGCTTCAAGAATCGTATGTGAATACCAAAAGCCTTCCGGACTGAAGTCGGGGTCGAGATCCGGCGGGTGCGTCCAAGATGTGAAGGTGACGATCCCGTCACTGTCTACGGTGCCCAGGTCTGGGACGAAATCGAGAACGAAGACATTGTTCTTCAGGACTGCCTTTTCGATGTAGAGGCCGCCCTTCCCGTGGTACAGCTTGAACTCCTGGGTGGTACTGTTGGCTTCCAGATGTATGCCTTTCGCCATCAACTGGCTGACGCTCAGTAAGTTGTAGCCAAGTCCTTCTGCTATTAGGACTTAGGACATTTGCAGTATGACATTCGTCTCTCGTGACTGAAGTTGCACTACTCCTTGTCGTCGTGTGCGCAGGTTCTGATTATTGGCAACGGTGATGACGACTTCTCGTTGAAGTTGGTGCTCGCGTTGAACGAAACGTCTTGAAGAGCACATATGTTGTTCGCAGCAACTGTCCAAGAACCATGTATCCTTCCCGGACGGCTCACTTTGAGCGATGGCGGCGTATATAGGGTTCGGTTGAAGTGACTCGCGGCGAGGCGTGCTGTTGTCGAGTTGTTCTTCTGGTGAGTAATATGGTGGTGACTCAGTTACGCAGGAGTCACTCAGCCTTGCCATGCACTGACGATGTTTCTTGTTCCTTTCGCAGGTTGTCCCATCGATGTTGTTGAGACTTGTACTGAAGTTGTCGGATTTGCTTGCGTTGAGGCGACTTGACTGCTTGAAGGGCGAAGTTGGCATTGCGTCGACGTTGACTGTTGTCGATTCGGGCAGTGCGTACGAGGATGCCCTGAATTCTTGCAGAGGTGGCAGAACGGAGGTACGATTTTCGCTCGATTGTTGTTGTTGTTGTGGCGCCGTTGAGTGTGAAACGCGAATTCGGGCACTGATACCTTTCTCTTGTGTCGTTCTTCTTGCAGGTCCATGTCCTGCTACTCGGCGTGGATTTCGGCGCAAAGTGCTGCTTCAGAATTTTTCCCGTGGGCTCGTAGTATGGCGCGAGTGGAGCGTCAGTGAGGACTAAGACCGCCGATGACAACTGTGACGAAGGCATCCTCTGAAATCGATCCTCCACATCGTAGAAGCTTGTCGCGCAGCTCGCGGCAGCGAGTGATATACGCCATTCCCTTCTCGCCTGGTTTCATTTCGATTGTTGTCAGCTGCGCCATTAACCGACTTTGGTTTACACTGTCTGTTGCTTGATACAGGCTCTTCAAGTGATTGTACGCGAGCTCCGCGGAGTTGCCGTAGCCTCGGTAAGACCGTATGTTTTGTTGTTGAGTTGGAGTGATGTTCCTCAGTATTATCGTGTACGCCATCATCGATTGATAGGTGTACTGCTGCTTCTCATACTGTGTGCCGTATGTTGGGTATGGCAGGGACCCGTCGAAGAAGCCAAGGATTTGCGCTCCTTCCATCATCAGCTCGAATTCGAACGACCAGGTAAAGAAATCCTTCCCGTCGAAGGGTTTTGTCGTTTGCAGTTTTAGAACGTGCGCGAACTGCGACTGAACTTGTAGTGCGTCCAGCGTTCTCTCTTGTCCCGGTGCAGGTTGTGGTTGTGGCATGAAGCTGACGGAGCCGCGCTGGGGCTCGTACGGAGCGAAGGTAGGTTGCTGTTGTTGATTCCCGCGTGCGTAGGATGAGCCATCGAGACTCATGGGCGTCACGTTGTTATTGTTGTTGCTGTTGTTTGATTGCGCAGGTGCTCCTTGCTGATGCTGCTCGTAGAAGGACATGAAGGAGAAGAACTTCTCCATCATGCTTGGATCGAAGCCCGCGCCTTGGTTTGCGGGTGTTTCAGTAGACCCAGCTGCCGGTCTCGTTGTTGTGCCTTCCTCTGTCTGTAGGCGAGAGGCAGGAGGTGGAGTAGGAGTAGTACCAAGAGAGCCGTTGGAGGAGCTCCTCTCCTTTCTGGTAGACATGTCTCTTGGTGTATTAGGTGTTAAGGAGAAATAATTTTTAACCCTAACCAGCTCTCATACCATGTTGGGCTGAGTGCCCCTTAGGATCTCTGGTAGGGTTAAACTCTGGGTAGAGTGATGTAGTAGCGGAAGCGTTTAAATGAAGTCCTTGAACCACCTTGCGCTGGTATGTGAGGGCAAAGTAAGCTGATTAAAACAAGCAAGTACAAAGGTTTATATAAGAGTACAAAGAATACGAAGAGATATAATCAAACTGTTTTACTGTTGCGGTTCGATACAGTGCGACTCGGGCAACTGCTCAATGTCGAGTCAGTTGTGTGTCCTTGCTGTCGCGCTGCATTTGTTGACCTTTGACTTTCGCGTAACCTCCAGCGGTTACTTCAACCTCCGAGGGTTGACTCGCTGGTGCCTCGATATGCTCTGCTTCGCTTGTGCCTTGGTGTTTCGACACGTCAGAGGCGCTTAAGATTGTTTGTTCCCAACACTTGTCAGGTACTCGATCTGCGTGGCTTGAAGCAGAATTCCCAACTCCAGCCGACTCGCGCGAACGTTTGTTGGCACGAGATTAACCAGCGTAAGTTTTCGAAGAGTGGGCTGCTCCACGCAGGACTAGTGCAAGACTCGTGTCTTCCGAACCGGCGTCACCCGAAGTAGTTGGGAGACCCCAAATACCGTCAGCCAAGTGGACTTGATGAGCTGCAGTCGGGAAGTCACTTTTAGCAGAAGAAAGACAGTAGTACTAATCTGTATGTTGTACCCTGCTAAGTGCCAAGAAAATCAAGAAATGCGAACTCTCGATTCCACTAAAGAGATTAAAACGCAAACATGTTTCGGCTGAATGGGACAGGCCCCACGTTAAACCTTTATCAGTGCTAGCGGAAATGAAGAAGAGAGTGCAAACGAAGCATTTAGGCAAACACTACGTTTCGGAAACCAAAAATCAAGGCTGGAGCAACCGTGGCTGGAAATCCGGTCAGCCTATCCTGGTCCACCTAGAGAAGTCCAAGTGGTCCAAGTCTTCATTCCTCGGGGCGTGTCGTTTAAACTGCACCCCTTGCCAGCTGTAACTTCAGGAGCCTCGCGCGAACGAGTAACTTCTGCAAGCTACACCCAGCCTTCCAAGCAACAAAAATCAATATAAAAACCGCGTGTAAGTAGACAACTTTTGAGACGTCTCAAAAGTGACCTTGTCGCCCACTTGGATGGTCGTATTGTGCTTCACTCCCACCCGCCACTGCAACCACGCTCCGCCTGAAGGGAGACAGCACGGGAAGGAATGGCCAGATTTTAAAATGATCCGTCTGAGGTGCCATGGTGACAGGAAGACTTAAACATACCGTCATCGCCCGGATATAAGACAGTGTTGAATAGTAGACAGGGGTTGTCTACTATACGGGTGTCTCTTATAAACAAGCTAGCCTTTTTATACGACATCTATTTGTGTGTACGAGTTAAGACATATATGTCTTATAATCAGAACCAGGGTTTAGGGGTTTTCTTATAAACAGGGGGTGTCTTCTTAGCTAGCTTTCCTACTTTAGGGGGGTACATGCATACAGTCATGAATCTCTACTTCTACCTAACCCCCCTCAGTCACCGCCTCCTCACCTGCACTAACATCAGGCTCTACACCCAGGTCTGGCACTCGCCAGGCATGCCTAGCCGTCTCCCTAGGCTCGATCATGCGGTCAGCCTCGGCCGCCGCTCCGCGGTAGTTGGGGGTCTCCTGGTACAGCACCTCCAGGCCAGTTGCCACGGCCACCTCCCGCACGCCCTCCGCCTGCATCGCCTCCTCCTCCTCCTCTGGAGCCCGACCGAGCAGGCGCGTGTTGTCGCCTGTGGTCCCCCCGAGAGACATGTCCGCGGAGACATCGGTGGTGCTCCTGGCGCGCAGGTGAGACATCACCAGGTGGTTCTCTGTTCCGTCCAGCTTGCTCGAGATCCCACAGTGGCGGAACGCGTCGATGATGATCTGCTTGGGGACTTGATCCCAAGCCTCCACAATCCACTGCAGCACCACGGGGTGCGGAGGCCTCCGCAGGTTCCCTGCGGGTGGGACAGAGGACGGGGCAGCGAGATGTAAGAGACACGGATATGAAGGAGCATGTTTAAGACAAGGACACGAAACAGAACATGAATAAAACCGTAAATGAAGGACCAACTCACCCTTCTTCGTCTTCAGGTGAATCCCTTCACGCATGAACCACCTGGCGTAGCGCGCTCGCACAGCAGCCTTGAAGCACCGGTTGATGGAGACGTCCAGGGGTTGAATCTGGCTCGTATAACCCGCTGGGATGACTGCAGGGGTGATGCTGTGCGTGCGGTACGACTGAAGCATGGTCTGGGTGATGTGACCGCGGTAGGAGTTCAGCACCAGCATCGCTCGCCTTGCGTTCTGGCCGCGCTGGGGGTTCAGATGGGGCAGCACCTCCTTGGACAGCCAGGTCTGCACAGCGGTCTTGTCCATCCACCCGTTGTCCTGTGCTTGGACCACGATTCCTGCCAGGCACACAAGGGACAGACGGGCATCAGCACAGTGGGGCACGCTCATCAGGCAGTCGCACGGTTGAATTCACGCTCGCTTACCTTCCGGAATCTCACAGTTGGGGACGTTCTTCATCTTGAACCACACCCACGGCCGCAGCTTCTCCCCGGATGCAGTGCACGCGAGCATCACCGTCAAGCGCGTCTTCTGGTAGCCTGCAGTGCGGATTGGGACCGAGCGCGCGCCACGGTGCTCGATCGTCCGTTCGGCTGGCATCTCCACGAATAGTGGAGTCTGGTCCGCGTTGATGATGCGGGCCAGGTCGATTTTGTGCCGCGCCCTGTTGATGCGCACAAACTTCCAGAAGGACTCGCAGTCCTTCGCGCACTCTGCAAACGGGACAAGCGCAACGGAAGCACGGGATGGTTAGACACTGGTTGAGGTACATGCATTCAATAGAGCGCCAGACGAAATCCTTCAACACGCACCTGCCGACAGACGTTGGCCGACCTTGGTCTTCACCCGCATCACCAGGTTCCAGCGGTCACGGAAACGCTGGCTCCAGTGAGAGCTCGCGTTCCAGTTCTTGCCGGGGTAATGCTTCTTCATCCACTCGCGGCTCCACTTCTGGGTGTCTTTCACCGAGATGGCCACCCCGTTAGCGCGCTGAAGGCAGATGTAGCGGTACAACGCTGCCTCCATGTCGGGGTAGTGTGAGTGGCGCCCCCCCCCGTGCATCCGCTTGCGGCAGTTGGCCGCGCCCTTGTAGACGCCCGCTTCCGCCTCCGCACACCAGTGTCTGATGCAGGCGATGGACGCGGTTGACTCCACGCTCGTCTTCTTCAAGGAGCCGAGCTCCTGATAGCGGCGCGCCCACTTAAGCTTCTCACGCACGGTCCAACTGCGGCGCTTCTTCGTAGTGTCTTTGCTGCGAGGGGAAGGTGGGCGGGTGTTGGGATTATGGAGGGTGGGGTCCCTCGGCGTTACCTTCTCAGGGAACGTGGGAATCGGGCCCGCCGCCGCCGCGTACTCATCGTCGCTGCCCAGCGGCTCGTTCACGACGATGTCGTCAGGATTCGGCGCCTTCTTCGCCTTCTTCTTAGCCGCACCCTTGCTGGATCCCGGGTCTCCGTCGGATGTCAGCTTCTTGTTGCTTGTGCGGCGACGAGCAGGGGCTTTAGCAGGGGCCTTAGCAGGGGCTTCCGCGACCTTGGCTTTCCCCTTCTCCGCAGCGGTGAATATCGGGCGACGCTCCTCCCCCGGACCGTCGTCGTCAGAGAGCACCACGCGGGCCCGCTTTGACTTGGACTGTAGGCGATGGCGCAGCCTCCGCTTCAGTAGCGGGACATCGTCGTCGGTCCCAAAGCTCCATGGGTCGTCGTCGCCGCCTTCCTCGCCTTCCGCATCCGCAACTGCGGCCGCATCCGCAGGCGCAAATGTCTCAAGTTCCGCCCCCGCCTCGTCATCAGCCTCCTCATTCGCATCCACCGCCGCTTCCTGTGCATCCGCCGCTGCCTCCGCGTTGTTACCATGCGCATCTTTACCTCCGTCGTTGTCGGAATCACCAGCATGCCACTCTTCCACCTCGTTGTCGCTCCCGACCGGTGTCGGAAGAAACCCCTCTTGCGTTACCTGCTTCTGTCCTTGTACTCCTGCTGCTTTCTCCTTCTCACCCTTGCATCTATCTTGTCCCTGTCCCCTGGTTCCCTTCTTCGTACTCAGCCACTACCTGAGAGATTTCCGCTCCCACGCGATGGCTGTCCACAGTGGTTTAGAGCTACCTAGCTGGAGTTAGCTTGAAACGGCAACTTCAATCCACTATACGAGGCAAACAAACGAGAGAACAGGGATGTGATTGCTACCCTAGGCTACTTTATTCACCCTCACCCGTGTTGCCAATTTCTTGGCGAGTGAATTGGGCCCGAGTCGCCTGGGCCTTGGATTGGCCGATCCTGATTTCCTGTCTCTCGAGGCTTTCTGAATCCAACCCCTTTGTACCCAGCAGTGCCCTATTCTACCAACTTCACGTCACCCTCCAGAACCCAACCAACCCTCGCTGAAACTGAATACTACAAGCTACACCCCTCTACACCTCACAAGCATGTAACAGAACATAATGCTTTTACCTTTATGTTCTGTGACAGCTGTCGGAGAAACCCCTCTTGCGTTACCTGCTTCTGTCCTTGTACTCCTGCTGCTTTCTCCTTCTCACCCTTGCATCTATCTTGTCCCTGTCCCCTGGTTCCCTTCTTCGTACTCAGCCACTACCTGCCCCCTCCTGTGCTCGTGCTCAAGCCGCTCAGGCCCGAGACACAGGACTTCCCAGCTGAGGACGGCTGCTCTTCATCCGTGCCTTGTGGGTCTGGTTCCTGCCACGGTCAGCTCTCTCTTCGTCTTCTCTAGCTCCAGTACTCCCACACTTCGCCCCGCTTGCAACCGCCCCCTCTTCTGTTGTCCTCCTTTGTCCGTCTCTGTCTGCCCTGCCCCTACAGCTTCTTCTGTCCCCCTGCCACCCAGCTGCTGCCGCTGTTCATAGCTGCACACATCCCCCATCTGCACCACATGTAGGTCCTCCACCGATGCCAGTATCACTTCCTTCAGGTGTCCTACTGCCTTGCCTCCCTCCCAGGCCGCCCACTTCTCAGCCTCTTCCATTCCCCTGGATTCTGACAGCACCTGGGATGCTAGCCGCATCGGCTCATCTGCCCATGTTCCTCCCTTAATCCACCTTACCGTCTTCACGCCCTCTTCTGCTTCCTGACTCGTCGCATTTTCCATTGTATGCTGCCTTTCTTCCCCCACAGGCAGGCACTCCCATGCCCCCACTTCCTTGCTCTCCCTCTCTGCTTCCTCTTGCTCCTGGGCTTTGTCCCACACTGGACCTTCCCATCCTCCTACCCGTAGGTCTCCTGTCCCCCAGTCGCACGCCATCCCTACTTTTATGCTCCTCACACCCGTCTCAGCTCCTCTCACGGCTTCTTTTACCATTTTCTCCCCCAGCAGCTCCGGACGTTCTTCCCTCAGCTTCCTCACATGCTGCTCCGCCCTCATACTTCCCTGCACTTACTTCTTTGCCTTTAGTACACACGGTCGTGCCCCCACCTTCTCGTCCTTCCGTTCTGCCTCTGCTACTGCAGGTACACACGCTCCCGCCCCCACCTGCTCTTCCTTTTCCTCTGCCTTCGCTGCTGCTGTTACACACACACCCGCCCCCACCTTCTCGTCCTTTTCTTCTGCTTCCGCTGCTGCTGTTACACACGCTCCTGCCCCCACTTGCTCGTCCTTCTCCTCTGCTTCTGCTGCTGCTGGTGCACACTCCCATGCCCCCACCTGCTCGTCCTTTTCTTCCGCACCGGCTGCTACCAGTTCACACGCCCCTGCCCCCTCCTTCTCGTCCTTCTCCTCCCCTTCTGCTGCTGCCCATGCCCCCACCTTCTCGTCCTTCCCTTCCGCGCCTACCGCTACCGGTTCATCCGCCCATGCCCCCACCTTCTTGTCCTTTTCTTCCATTTCTGGTGTTACTTGCACACACACCCATGCCCCCACCTTACTCACTTGCTTCCTTCGTCCGTCCCTGCCCCCACTGCTCCACCCCAGGTTTTCATGGCGACGCAGCACCGCACAGGAGTGCTCTGGCTCCTGCTCCTCTTCCTCCTCTTCCTCTTCCCTCACGTACACTCCTGGTTCTTTCTTCTTCTTGCCTCCCAAAGCCTGCAGCTGAGCCCACAGCCTTCCTATCTGTGTTTCTATCTCCTCTTGTGACCTCCTTGCTCCCCCAGTCCTCTGATAGCAGTCCTTCTGCTGATGCCCCCTCTTCCCACACACTTCACAGGTTGGCGCGTCAGGGCAGTTCTGACGGCGGTGCCCTGGTTTCCCACACACGTCGCAGTTCTTGCAATTCAATCTTACATGTCCTGGCTGTCCACACCTGTAGCAGGTCTTCGTGTCTGTCCTTCTCTCATATTGCTGCTCCTCTCCGCCTCCCACCCCCGGTATCATTGCTGCCGCCCAGGTGGGTCGCATCTTCTCAGCCACTGTTGGCAGGTATGCCTCATAACGCCTCTGTGCCAGCTCCACCTTTTCTGTTAGCTCAAACACTTCCTCCAGGCTTGCTTCTGCCCCCAGCTCGTATACTCTCATTTTCAGTCCTCCGGCCAGCCCGTCGTCCAATCCTGCCAGGAACTTACTAATCAGCATGCTGCTGTCGGTACACACCACATCCTCGGCCAGGTTCATGAGCCGCCCATAATACGTCAGCAATGACTCATCCTTCCTGCGTTTGAAGTCCTGAAACTCCCTGATTCGCGCTGCCGTGTGTCCTGGGAATTGCTTGCGCAGGCGCTCCAGGAACAGTGACGTAGGGTCGTCCCCATCCTCCTCTGCCCTCCTCAGCCACTCATGCATCTTCATGCGATACAATGTTTCTGCTTCCCCACCCAAAGTGTTCGGCAAACTCAAAAAGAAGTCGATGGGGTCCATCCCACTCCGATCGCACCTGTACTTGACATTCCCAATCTGCATCAGATAATTCTTTAGATTAGTGCTTGTCCCTCCATTCCCCGTGAAACGCACTAGCACCTCTACTTGTGGTGGCGCCTGCATGCCCCATCTCCGTGAGTCCCAGGTTCCCGTTGCTCCTCGCTCCGCGCGGCTAACTTCTCCTCTGTGCTCCCTCATTCCCCTGCTGCCTGTGCTTTGCCCACACAGCACCCTGTCTATCCCTTCTCTAGCAGCTCTGGCTTCGCTAGATCCTTCTCCTGTCTGCCGTGGCCTCCTGGGGCCCCTCGGACTCGGACTCCTTCTCTGCTCCTCCTCGTGAGCCTCTCTTCGCCCGCCTGCTTCCCCCCATCGCCTTTCTCTCCTCTCAGGCGAATAATCCTGGAATCGCCCTTCTCGCTTCCTCCTTTCCCGCTGCTGCTGGTCCTCTCTCTCACGAAACTCTCGCCGTTCTTCTTGCCTGCTCCTAAGCCCTTCTCTCCTTCCAGGGATATATTCTTCCCAGCTTTCCTCCCTTTGTCTTGATCCATGGCGTGCCCGCCTGTCACTCTCTTCCTCTTCCCCGCTCTCTGTTTCATACTTGTGCATCCCCTCCCGTCGCATGTGCTGCCTGTCACCTCTCTTCCTCTGTCCGCTCAGGTCCTGCTTCTCCCTCACCCCCGCTCCAGGTTCCATTCGCCCTTCTCGCCTTCCCCTGTACCCCTCTCTTTTTTCAGGGCATGACTTCTTCTCCCGCCACTCCGGCTTCCCGCGTCGGCGCCGTTCCAGATCATACCCATAGTCCTCTTCTTCACTGTACTCATGTTCCTTCTCTTCACGCAGCTCCTCATCACTCCTTCTCATCTTCTCCCTCCACTCCTTCCTCTCAAGGGACTCTCCTTCACAACGTCTCCCTCGTCCGCCTGCTCCTCGGCGCTCATGATCCTCTCTTCCTCTTCCTTTGTCACTTCTCGGGTCCTTCTCTGGGGACACCTCTCGCCAGCAGCGCTCTTCCTCACCCCTTCTCCTGTTTATCTCTCTCTCCTGCCTCCCCCTTGCCTCTCCGTCAGGATCCTGCACCAACCCCGCTCCCGCGCATGGGTACTCGTCTACTCCTTTCCGGCGTGTTCTCGCATCTGCACCCGTGATGTACTGCCACCAACACACACTGCCGTTAACATGTGCTTCCCTCTCCTCCGTCCGCTGCCGTGCACGCGAGCGCCGCGCGCGCCTCCTCTCGTGGGCGTGCTCACTTCCTTCTCCCCCTTGCTCTGGTGATCGCCATCCGCCCAACGCCATGCGCCTCCTGCGCTCATGTCCGCGTCTTGGCTCAGGCGAGCTATACACTCCCGCCTGCACGTCCCGCCTCCTTTCTTCCTCACGGCTGGCTCCTGGCGCGCGCTCAGTCTCCTTGCCTTCATCGCGCCTCGCGTTACTTCCGCGCAGCCTGCCTGGCGAGCGATCCGCATCCGCGCTCCCGCGGCGCCTTGCGCCATTCTCAGGCATTTCGCCCGCCGAACTGTCTGCATCCGCACTCCCGCAGCGTCTCGTGTCATTCCCGCGCATTCCGTCAGTCGAACCGGCTGCATCCGCACCCCCGCGGCGCCTCGCACCCCCGCGCATTTCGCCAGCAGAACGATCTGCATTCATGCTCCCGCGGCGCCTCGCACTTCCCTCGCGCATCTCTTCTCGCGCGCGATCTGCTGCCATGTCCTCGTGGCGCCGCGCGCCACCCCCGCGCATCTCGTTCGCCGAACGATCTTCTTCCATTACACATCCGCGTTCTTCGCGTCCATCTCTGCCATCGCTTTGCATATCGTCCTCTTTCGCATCCGCCTGTTCTTCTCCGCGGCGCCTCGCGCCATTCCCACCCATTTCGTTTTCGTCCGTCGCACCAGCTGCATCCCCGCTGCCATGAAGCCTTTCGCCACTCCCATCTGTTTCGTCCGTCGCACCAGCTGCATCCGCGCTCTTGCGGCGCCTCGCGCTTCCCTTGCGCCTGTCGTCCGGCGAGCAATCCGCCGCCGTGTTCCCTCGACACCTCACTCTGCCTTCTTCACACATCCCCTCTAATGCAGGATCTGTTTCCGCGTCGCTATTACACTCTTCTGCACCTCGATTCTGCAGATCTGCCTCCTCCCTGCCTATGCGTTGTTCCCCGCCGCCCCGCGCAGTGGTGACACCTTCGCAATCTCCCTCGTCGTCAGCCTTCCTTGCTGATTCCGGCGAGTCCATCATATCCGCGTCGTCATGACGCCCTTCTCCTGCTCCTTGCTGGCCACCTGCCAGATTCCAAGGATCACTTCCGGACGGACGAGGCGTGGGCTCCGCCTTTGCATGCGGATCGCCCTGGCTTCCTCCTCGTCGCCCTCGTATGGGTGAGCCCCCATCCGCGCGGTACGCCGTCCTCCGTGGCGAACGCGTCCGCGATCTCCCGCGCTCCAATGAGCGCATCCTCCGCGACGGTGAAAACTCCCGACGCGAGTCCATCTGCTGCCAACGCAGCTCGTGGCAGTCCATACCGCCAAAGCTGTTCTCTCGTTTGTGAGAGATTTCCGCTCCCACTCGATGGCTGCCCACAGTGGTTTAGAGCTACCTAGCTGGAGTTAGCTTGAAACGGCAACTTCAATCCACTATACGAGGCAGACAAACGAGAGAACAGGGATGCGATTGCTACCCTAGGCTACTTTATTCACCCTCATCCGTGTTGCCAATTTCTTGGCGAGTGAATTGGGCTCGAGTCGCCTGGGCCTTGGATTGGCCGATCCTGATTTCCTGTCTCTCGAGGCTTTCTGAATCCAACCCCTTTGTACCCAGCAGTGCCCTATTCTACCAACTTCACGTCACCCTCCAGAACCCAACCAACCCTCGCTGAAACTGAATACTACAAGCTACACCCCTCTACACCTCACAAGCATGTAACAGAACATAATGCTTTTACCTTTATGTTCTGTGACACCGGCCGATTCCACCAGTCGTCCTCCTCGATGTCAGCGGGACCTACATCGTCGCCTGAAGCGCTGTCGTCGTGGCCGTTCTCCGGCCAATCCTCCTCGGCGTCGTCGCCGTTCGCTTCGTCTCCGTCGTCCCCGTCACAGCTCGCACCGGAGGTGGCGGTAGGACTTGCCGCCTTGCTCGCGTTCTTCGCCATGGCTACACGGATGTCATCGCCGGGCGAGTTAATTCGCCCGTAGTTATTAACCTGCACGTGAGGACGAGGTGAGGACTTGCCTACTGGTACTTTGCTGCGCATGGTTAGAGAGCCTGCCGAGAGCAAGGTTGAGACGAGTATTCAACCTCCTTGAGCATGAAATGAAGTGAGAGCCCGACTACCCCCCCCAGCCAGAGTGCCCCATCCACAGGTGCCGAGCCGCTCCTCTACGAGGCATCTCCTCGTAGAGGACAGCCCTCACGCTGCCAACGTGCTGCCAGCAGCGTTCTGGAAGCATCCATGCGCTCCTGGCAGCAAAACGACGCTGGCAGCATCATTAGATGCTGCCAGCACAGAGGAATGTTGCCAGCGGTGGCAGCTCCCTCACGTGGAAAGTGTGGGCGCTGCATGCATCACCACCGAG